AAGAATTGCTTTTAACAAAAAGCAGATTAGTCACTGTATAGAAATAAAGGATTCTAACAGGACATAGGACTGAGCACAGCCAGAGTTAGATTCACACAATACACTTTAGTTAAGAATTTTCGAATTTCTTTGGGAAAGGCGAAAACTCGTTCCTTGAAGTGCCGGAATGAGATCTTGTTCAGAAGCAAAATGTGTCTTTATACATCGAATGGCAGTGCTAGAAATGAAAACCTTCAGACCATGTCCAAGTTACACTGCATGTGACCACACATGTGGCGGTTTACTCTGTGGATGTTTGCTACCCACGCCAAGTTGCCTATCTTATAGGAAAGCACATGTCTCGGTATTCGAGCAAGTGCGTGCCACGAAGGTTTTTATACCAAGATGGGACACCTAATCCACGCAGAAGTAGCAACTTAGATGTTCGGAAAGCTCAACTCAAGCTTCTACTGCATCCAGCTATGTTAAAGCAAAACTTAGTGTAGTAAATGCTATTGTCTTATCAGTATACCCAATCATCCAGTAATGGACAGGAAGTTGCACTTTCCATAAGAAACGATCATACTGTCGGAAGTATAATATTTCAAAACTCGTTCGCGCAATGTGCCGCGCAATTTGATGCAGAAAACCGTTTTTTTTTTTTTGAATGCGAAAACAATAATTTGCAGCTTTAACAGCTGTATAACGTCACCTCATTGAAAAGCCCTGACGACACAATCGTTAGTACGCCATTATGTACCAATATCCTCCCACGGAAACGGCTCACTTGAATTACTTATTAATTCCAACAACATTATAATAGAGTAATACCACAGCAGGACAACATAAACTGCTCGAAAACGGTGAAAGTGAATACGTAGTCGTGCAGATTTCAGCGAACTAAGCGGCTGCTACAGCTGTATACATGGGAGGCAATTACGGCCACATGCACCCTACAGTACAATAGTGAGGCGCCAGTTAAAAAACATACTTTTACTATGCCTTGCAACGTTCATGGAGTATAGTCTAAAGTCATACTCAACTACGATCTTGTATAAATCGAAGAAACATGCCAAATAACATGTGGAAAGAAAATGATTGGCATAACAATTAAAGATGATCTACTCTAGCACACAGCGTCAAACTAATCGGTGTCCCATGCAATACCTCTGATCAGAGACGGTCTGTTTTCGAGTTCCGCCTTCCAGAGATTCCTCTCCTAAAAATTGTGAAAAACCATCGAAAACGCCCTTCAATCCAGCGGACGTCGCAACATCTGTCGGCTTACCGTTTGGTCCTGTTGTCATTCTAAAACTGAAGTGATAGCGCTTTTGATGAAGCGTGCCGGTCCCATTTCTATGGTTTACCTCAAGAGAGCCATCATTATCGCTAAGGTCAGAAATTTCATTGATGTACTGAACGCCATTTGTACATAGGTTGACAAGTCATGGAAGTTTAATGTATTTTGAGACTCCAATATATCTACTTTAGTCCTGAGACTAATACTATCATGTATCATTCACTTACTCGTAGTCTGCACATCATTTGGTGTTGCACAAAGCACTGCAAAACTCATCCGCACCTTCATGATGAGATCCTTTATTACTTGCGACAACAACACGACTGCTAATGTTCTGCCCAATATCTTCGGAGATCCAGAACCTATAAGACTACAAGCGTTCTTCTACCACTAGATCAACGCCGTGGTTACTACTACAAATGAAGCGTGGTTCGCATAGCCGAAATGTTCGGAGCTGCTAAAGCTATCTAAACCGCGCTCTAACATTTTTACCCTCTAAAAGAGAACCGGTTCCAGCGCACCACGACTGAATGCAATCGCTTCAGAGACGTGGGGACAAAGTCGTGTCAGCTACACGATTGGCCTATGGAAGCGCCTGAAGAATATGTACGACGAGAATTGTGGAGTACTCTGTGCTGTGGGAGGTGCATCATACTATGCTGTGCTCCATTTGGCACTACGGTCCTCCATTCAAACGTTATCAGTAAAAGGGGGTTTCAGGCAATTTATAAGTAAATGTAATATTAAATTCCTTGTTGTTGTTTGTGGTATCTAATTTGCGGCACTGGTGGCATTGTTCTGGCATTTGCCAGCACTCCCCCTTTCTCTCACTATCATTACCGCCTTCGGGCATTACCTAATTTGGCACTACTGGTATTGCGCTCGCTTAGGAGCAGGCGCAATATAGAGTTACCACTGAACCACCTGCTAATATTAGGTAGCGTCACCTCTCCGCTTGTATTAAGACACCACCGTTGATTGATTGTATGTTGATCATGATATGATAATATCTATTATGTTGTGCTAAATAGTTTTGGTCCGAGGGAGGCTCTTAAAGAAACTCACAATATCGTGACGAAAAGAGCTCCTCGAAATTTCTGAACGTCCGGGAGGAGCAATGCATGCCAGCTATCTAACGAAGTTTTAAGAACTCAAGTCATCACTTCGGTATCCTTTTCTGCAGTGCATATATCTTTACTTTAGGAAGACTTTCACTGGTTGCTTGCTTAATTTCGCAAAAATATTCATAATTTGACCACTTTTTCGTATTCTAAAACAAGGAAATTCTATCGTTCGATTAAATTGTGCCTCCAACAGCCAATCACAATGATAGATGCTAACATTGCAAATTTCTTTTTCCTAGAAATACTTTCACTGCGTAAGAAATGAAGGAGCTGATGCTAAAGATTTTCTTGGTGTGACCCTAAATCTTTCTTTCCTTTATTGTTGATTTTCAATATTTGCAAGTTCTACATGTTTGACGTTCCTTTCTTCGGTAGCATAGCTTGAATCTGCATGGGATTTTCAAAAGTTCATGCTTTTTCATTCATTCAATTATGATGTTCCTTAATTTCATAGTTGGAGTACGCAGCTCCAAGACTCGTCTTGTGAAATAGTCAGAAATGTTTAAGCAATATGAAAAATCGAACTCGAACAACATAATAGTCTTTTTTCTTTCATCCCTTTCTTCTACATGACACCTATCTAATTATTAGGTGGATTACGATGAGAACCCGAAACGATTAGGGAAGAAGCTGAAGTGGAAATTAAAACTATTTCTCTTTCATTGGCTGGTAACTAAGCTCTCAATATGATTTATTCTGCTTGCTGAATTGTTTACGTTTGAAAA